GTTTTTGGGAATTGTTCCAATTTTTTGTGCTAAACTCTGAATTTCTCACCAACTTTTTTGTTTGTTCTGAGTGCATAATTTCGCTGGGCTACAGTAGGAGAAGGGGGAGGGAAGGGTGGCTTTCATTCCAGTATCCAGGATTCAAGGGAAAGGAGGGAAATTGACTTTTTTTTTTTTTTTTTGGGGGGGGGGGGGGGTGTTTTTTTCCCCCCAAAAAAAAAAAAAAAAAAAAGTATGCAAGCATTTCTATTCCTCGCATTTTTCTGTGTGCCTGACAAATAAATACCTGTCTTATACTACCCTGAGCTGTTAGCCCTCTCTGTTCAGTGACATGGGCCAAATCTTCCAACTCCCCAAGCAGGAGCGTCTGGGAGGCCTCTTCCTGTTGAACAAACCTCAGTTCTATGCAGTAAGCTCAGGATCAAGCAACCAAGCCGAGTCCTCCCTGTGCTGGGTGGGTGGTCCTTCAAGGGTTTAGGCACCCAGCTTGGGTTGACCAGGTCTGAAGAGAGGGCCCAGTCCCACCCAACCATACCATATCTTGAGCTATCCAAGCCTTGCTGGACTTTTCCTCTGGGACTTAGGGCTATTAACTAGGACAGTCTGTAGTTCAGTACAGACCATGACTCCAGGGTGCCATAGGCAGAGGACAGGGTGGTAGGGACCCTGGCTCCTCCAGCACCCTTCCCTCCATCCCGTGACCCAGGAGCATTCCCAGGGATGACATACTGTGACATGAACATAACTTTTTTTTTAAAGGGGACAGTGTGAGATGCCTTAATCTTTCATTTTGACTGTCTTGAAAGTTCACCTTTTTTTTTTTCTTGAGTTCCCTCTTTGTGATATAACTTGTGTGATAAAGCCCCAAGTGGGTGATTCTGTGCCGAAATTTGTTAACACCTAAAGGCATGACTGAATACCTCTCTGGGTGTGGGGTTGAGCCATACCAGGAAAGGATATTTATTAGCATTAAGGGTATTTACCAGCGGCAAAGCGCACCTCAAAACCAGCCACCATTCCCTGAAGTGCTGGCAAGTCCTGGTCTTCCCTGAGAGCCCTTGCAGGGATCTAGCTCTTGAGAGCCATGAGCCTATGGGAACCCACAGGCCCAAAGATTGATTATAACAATCTCCAGTTATCTCTAACACAAACCTCCAAGGCAACTGGAAACCTGTGGTCAACTAGGGTGGGGACATCACCTGATTTGAAGTTGGGGCAGTTTATGTTCACACATTCCCATCTGGAGCCACCCACAGCTCTAGCCATCTTGACTGTATCATAGGGACTCCAGTCTGAAATGAACTACACCTCTGGTGAACATGGGTGTCCCCTGAGGGTGGGACAGTAGCACTGAGCAGCTTTGGTTCCTAACTACCTCTCCAGGACCTCTGTGAAGCTCACCCTAGGCAGAGGGAATGAGGTAATCAGCTGCTTCCTTGTGTCTTGTTTCCACATTCACTCTCCTATTGGCTGGAGAAACACAAATTTTTCTATATAAATATTCTTATAACAGGGATATCGGAAATGAAAAGGATGGTCCATGCCACTCTGCCGTAGAGTTTTTCTTTGATGCTGAGTTATATGCTGCACATGACGTTAGCCTAAAGAATTTCAACAGCTTTTATCAAAAGGACAGCAAACATTTTTATAATCCTTAACAAAGAAAGTGTAATAGATGGTTACACTAGTGCAGGGTATGAGGGAATTTTGGGGCGGTGGGGAGGTTGTCACTTGTATTTATTGTGACTATAAATCTTTGATAATAAAACATGTAAAAAAAAAATGTTTGCCACCAAACCAATAGAAGTTCCAAAACAAAGAGACTGGAATTGGTGGTCATACTTTGTATCATGAGGAACTTTTAGACTCTGAAGGACAATAAAGAAATGGATAATGTGTCAACTGTACTCTTCTTTTGTCCCCTCTACCTTGATTTCCCTGTGTTTTGTTCCAGCTTCAGGGCAGCTTTTTAATGGGGGAAGAATGCAACTAAGGCATTTTACCTGATGGTGTCCCTCCCTCCCTACCTACCCTTGGTCCTAGGCACTATCTGCACCAAGACCTGGGGTTCTGGACCTAACTTAACCCCACAAGACCAGAGGAATGGGGTCAAGATCCCAGTGGGTTTTGCCCATCAGCCTCCAAACTCCAGTCAGTGCAGGATTTTTTTTCTGGAGCAATTTTCAGGCTTGGTACCTTGAGAAGTGGTCTTTGCTGCAGAACTTGATATTACAGATGCACATTGTAAGCACAGTTTGAGCTGTGGGCTGTGTCTCCAAAAGTGAATGATATCTGATGAAAATTTGTTTTCAGATGCTAAAAGTTTCACATTTTATTTTTGGTGCCGGGGACTAAACCCAGGATCATGTGCATCTAAGCATAACAGAGCTACACTACAGCCCCTCACATTTGTTTTCATTTTAAAAAAACTTTTTTCAGTAACAGAGGTTGAACACTAAGGCCTCAATGCCATGCAAGCACTCTACTACCACTAAACTACATTCCCTGCCCCTTTTACTTCATTGTGAAACAGGGTCCTGCTAAATTGCTGAGACTGGTCTCAGCCCCCTGCGTCACTGGGATCACAGGCACAGTGGCTGGCACATTTTTATTTTTAAAGTGAAACTTGGGATCACTTTGCATTCCAAATGCATAAAATATGAACTTGTTTTGCTGTTTGGGCGGCATCCTTCCCTGGGAGCTGACTGCCTCCCAATAGTGTGCTGAGTCACTTCAGCAACGCACAAGAGCTGGTAGAGGGCAGAGTAGATATTAAACCCAAGCCTGTTCTCCACCTGTAAGATCCCAACCAGTGCCCCATAACCCAACACTGACCTCAAGAAACATACTTATGGGGCACTTTGGGGCCCTATCTCCACCCTCAAGATCCCTGTGCTTCTCTAGATCACATATAGGCACCTCAGTGGACCAGGGGCAGATCCAGTCCTGGACGGTGGTCTCAGCAAGTTTCTCAAGCTGAGAAATGGGACAATAACCCTGGTCCCTGAAACTTTTTGCCCCCTGAACTGGGCCCTGGGCCTGTGTGGCCATGGAGCAGGGCCTCAAAGTTTCCTACAGATTCATCAGTGGACCGATGGCATGTGGCAGTAGCCATCCAGGTGGAAAGAACTGGGTGTCCCAGAGGAGGTAACATCAAGTTAACTCAAATGAAGGGAGGGAAAGTGACGCCAGGAGTGAGAAGAGCCTGGGCAATGGTTTGGTGGTGGGATGAAGCACAGGTCAAGAACAAAGAGGACAGAGTGGTTGCACTTTAAAGACACAGGTGAGGAGGATGTGGATGCACTCTAAGTGCAGTGGAGGCCCTGGGAACACTGGAGGCTCCATCCTCCAGTGTAAAGCAGAAGGTGTGAGTTTTCTGCCTCAGCTGTGACAACCCAGTCAGAACTTGAAGGTCAAGCACACCCTCTCTTCTAGCCTCAGTTTCCTCATGGGCAAAATGAGGGGGATGGGGCCACAGTCCATTTGAAGGGGGTAAGGGGAGAGCTGTGCTCAAACTCCAAGATAACAGAAAGCATGGAAGGTGAGTGAGCAGTGGCTGGCATGGCAACACCCACAGCTGAGAAACTCCCTCTAGGACCATTGAGGTTCAGATGAAATCAAGCAGGTTAGGGTTGAGGGACATATTTGTCATACACCACAAATGTCAGCAAAATGTCACCAAACCTAGGAACCTCAAGGCAGCCAAAACTCCCAACTTCCCCCAGGCCCTGTGGGGTCCCCCCGGGACTTGTAGCTCTCCACCTCCTCTCCCCACTCCCTTGCTCTTCTAGCCACAGGAACTTCCTGGCTTACTCAAACCTCTGCCCTTTTCCAATGACTCCTTCAAGACTCAATTCAAATGTGATGGCACATACCAGTAAACCCAGCCACTCTGGAGGCTGAGGCAGGAGAAATCTCCAGTTCAAAAGCCAGCCTCAGCCACTTACAGAAGCCCTAAGCAGCAACTCAGCAAGATCTTGTCTCTAAATAAAATACAAAAAAGGGCTGGGGATGTGGCTCAGTGTCTTTGTGTTCAATCCCTGGTTACTTGCCCCTCGCCCTGCCCCACCCCTGAAAAAAGTGATGGCTTTAATTGTGGATGCATCCTTCCTCTTCCTGGCGTTTAACACAATTTACAATTATTATTTGGTACCAGGGATTGAACCCAGGTGTGCTTAACCACTGAGCCACATCCCCAACCCTTTTAATTTTTTTATTTTGAGGCGGGGTCTTGCTAAGTTCCTGAGGGTCTCGTTAAGTTGCTGAGGCAAGCTTTGAACTTCGCAATCCTCCTGCCTCAGTCTCCCAAATTTATGGGATTACAGGCATGCTCCACCATGTCTGGCTTACAATTATTTCCAAGCAATTCTTTTATTTTACTTAATTTTCACTTGCTTTCTCATGAGGGCAGGGATTGGTTGAAGCCTCTTCACTGAGTTCCAGGGCCTTGGTACACAGCAGGTGCCTAAGAAATGCATGAGGACTGAGCAGGATTCACTCTAATTCTATCCCCAAACTCTTCCCAAAGGCAAGGTACCTTCACCAAAGAGGGCTTCCCCACTACAAAAAGATCTAGCTTCCAATCACAGCCTGTCTGTGGGCAAATAACATCTGGGTGGGCCTGTTTCCTTATCGGTTAATGCACAGTTTATACCCAGCATCCCATACACAGCATCGTCAGAAATCCTGAGATAACAAGAGACCCTCTGAATTTGCTCCATTTGGAGAATCCCATATATTGACTGGGGTTTGAATCCTCCCAACTATTTATTTATTTGGTACTGGGGATTGAACCCAGGGGTGCTTAACCACTGAGTCACATCTCCAAACCTATTTATTTACTTCATTTATTTATTTCTGAGACTGGCTCTCGCTAAATTGCTTAGGGCCTCGCTAAATTGCTGAGGCTGGCCTCGAACTTGCCATCCTCCTGCCTCAGTCTCCCTAGTCGCTCGGAACACCACCACGCCTGGCCTCCCAACTCTTCTGAGACTGGAAGACAGAACCTCAATATGCCTTCCTCTATAACGGGCAGACCGCGCCAGCCTTCTTCCCCGGACGGCTCCCTCCTCCCTGCTCTGTAAAAGGGGCCACTGCTAAAGCCACTTTGCGAGGAAGAGCGAGTTTATTGCAGGTTCTAACCGAAAATCTGGCATCCGCGGCTGGCTGGGGAGGGACGCCCTCCACGCATGTCTGCTCGCCGGCAGCTCCTCCACTAAGCCACCGTCTGCCGCGTAACCAACGCTCATTCCGCGCAGGCGCAAAGCTTCGTCTCCTCTCGTCTGGCCCCTCCCGGGGCCTTTTCGCAGGGACTTGAGGATGCATATGCGCCCTCCAGCTCTCGGGATTGTGGAGGAGGAACTAGATTCCAAACCCGGGCAATTGCGGCCCACGCCGCGCAGGGGAAGGGAAAGGGTAGAGCACGTGTGCAATCGCAAGCGGCGGCTTCGCGGGTTTCCGGAAGCGTGCCTCTCGCGCGTGCATCGCGCTGGCTCAGTGCAGGGTTCACCGGGAACCCCGGGAACCCCGGCTCCTAGCCGGAGTCCCCAGCGCGCAGCCAGCTGTTGCGCGCTACCTGGCCCGCTGAGGGCCTGGCCGATGGGCTGAATTGTAGCAACTCGGCAATCAGGGACTTGCAGCGCTCGGAGAGCTCGAGGCCCTCGGGATAGAGCACGCCGCGCTTCTGGCGCCGGGGCAGGCCCGCGATGTCTGAGTCGTCGAAGGGCATGCACCCGGTGACCATGACGTAGAGCACGACGCCCAAGCTCCACACGTCATATTTCTTGGGGTCGTAGGGAATGCCCAGGAGTACCTCAGGTGACGCATAGGCTGCCGAGCCGCAGTAGGTGGTGCTAAGGTCTGGATAGCCATGAGCCTGACGACCGAAGCCGAAATCGGTGAGCTTGACGCGGCGCTCGTCAGGGCTCAGCAGCACATTTTCGCACTTGAGGTCGCGATGCACCAGATGGTGGTCGTGCAAGTAACGTACAGCGCCCGCGATCTGCGCGAAGAGCTCGCGCGCCTGTGATCCAGGGATGCGCCCGTTGCGCTGCACCGCCTGCAGCAGGTCGGTGGCGGCCGCCTCCATCACGATGTACAGCTTCCCGTTGCACACCTCGATGAATTCGAAGACGTGTACGATATGCGGGTGCCGTACACCCCGCAGGATGGACAGCTCTCTAGGCAGGAACTTGTTGACGAAGTCCGGGGGCGCTCGCCGCCGGTCCACCACCTTGATGGCCACCGTACCCTTGTACTTCTTGGAAGTGGCCACCTTAACCTTAGAGTAGCTGCCCTCGCCTATTGTGCGACCCAGCTTATAGCCAAGTTCGCTCAGGAGTTTGTCACCCGACATGGTGGCGCCCGGGGCGCGCGGGGAGCAGGAGGCGGCTGCTGTCGGGGGGCGGCCGGACTCCGATCTCGGGCCTAACCCATGGCGCTTGGCACCTGCACACCCGCACCCCCATGTGCCCACTCCCGAGCTCCCGCCGCCACGGTGCCTTTTATTTCCCAGGTAACAATTTCTGCCTTGTGAAGTTACTGCGGGCGTCACTCTACCTCGGGGTGGGGGCCGCCCGGACCCCGCCCCGCGAGCTCCCTAAGCCCCTCTGCTTTGTGACTCAATCGTCCAGAATGGTCAGTTCCTGGTCAAAGGCTACTAGCAAGGGGTACCGACCACCACTGGGAAGCGGAATTTGTTCCTGGGATTAGAGCGTTTCTTCGTGAGTCTCCCCATCTTCGTTTACCCAACTCGAGACCATGTTCTCTCAGGGCAGCCCCAATAAGATGGGACCTGGAAAGGAGGACTTAACTCGGGGACCTGGTTCCCTGGGGAGTTCGGGGTTTCTGACCCCTTTGTGCATCGCCCAGGGGGAAAGGTGAGCGTGAGGGATTTTAGTGCAAAGTTCAGGGCGCCCTGGCGACCTCCAGGTGCGAACAAGGGCTGACTCACGCCTGAGAAAGAGAAAATCAGGACTGTTGGACCGCAGCCCGGCCACACACTCAGACTCGGGCCCTGCTGCCTGAACTCTCCGGAGCGGTGGAAGAACCATCCCAACATCTTTAGTTCCCTAGCGCCGCAGACTTTTGCTGGCGCTTCCGCCACTCTCAGCATGGCGGCGGGCGGACGCGTCACTTCCGCCTCAGGCCGGAAGCCTGGGGTTCTGCTGGCATGGCGGCATCGAAGGTGAAGCAGGACATGCCCCCGCCAGGGGGCTACGGCCCTATTGACTACAAGCGAAACCTACCGCGCCGCGGACTGTCGGGTCAGTGTAGCTCCATGCCAAGGTTCTCAGGGTCTGAGCCCTCTGGGTTGTGGAGGCGGGATTCGGGGACGTGAGCAGGCCTCAGTTTATCCGAAGGTGTGACGGGGTGACGGGAGGCCGCGGGGTCTCAGTGGCTTCAGTAGTAATAATAATAACTGCTGAGTAGTTATTATTATTACTACTGTAGTAGTTATTGTTATTACTATAATAGCGGGCCTGGCTTCCTTCTAACAGCCCAGGAAGTCAGTCCCCTAAGTTATACCCATTTTACAGTGGGTTAAACAGATTGGTATAGCCTGTCCCCAGCCCCCTCAGCCACCCTTGGGTTTCACAGGCGGGGAAACTGGTCCCATGGAGGCTACGATTTCCCCAGGGTCAACAAGAGCAAGGCTGGAGAATAAACCCCGAAACCAGAGGGAATTTATAAGATGTTCTAGGCGGTGTTTCAAACTCGCTGGTAAACCCCAACTATAAAATGCCCTGGGAATTCGTCTTCTTAAATTTTCAACTGTTATAAGTAACATTTTAAATTTTGTTATGGAGTTCAACGGAGAAAAATATAACAGACCGTAAAAGGCTCAGATTTAAAAGAAATATAAAAATTTAAACATAATTAAGGGGTGAGTGCATTTACTGTAACTCATTGAACTTCACTTTTAAAACCTGTGCATGTGGTGGGCGCGCACCTATAATCCCATTGAATCTCAGACTCAGGAGGCTGAAGCAGGAGGGTAGCAAGTGTCTTAGCAATTTAGCAAAATACAGATGAAAAAGGCGGCAGGGTGTAGCTCAGTAGAACTTTCAATTCATGTGCATGATTAAAAAAAAAAAAAAAGATTCATACAGTAGAAAAGTCAGTCTCAAGGTATATAGCTCAATAGCGGAGCACTTGCCTAGCATACCACAGGCCTTGAGTTCTATCCCCAGAATCAGGGAAACAAGTAACATTTTAGGCATTTCAGGACCAGAGGATCTCAGCTGCCAAAACAATCATTTACAAATGTAACTGTGTTTTTAGCTCCTGGGCCTTGGAAAAACAAGTTATAGGCTAGATTTGGAGAATATAATGATCTGAATCTTTTTTCTTTTGTTGTTTCTTTTTCTTTTTTTTTTCTATGTATGGAATCCAGAGCCTTGGGCTACTTATTCATTTTTTATGTGGTGCTGAGAATTGAACCCAATGCCTCACACATGCTAGGCAAACACTCTACCACCGGGCCATATCCCCAGCACCCTCTCATTTCTTCTTGAGGTATAACTTAACATCCAGGCTAGTGCACCCGCCTTGGGTGTGCAGCACATGTATTTATATGCGTTCACCTATATGACTTGCACTCAGACCAGGACACAGAAAGATCCCAGCCCTGGGGTGCCCTTGGGTTCCCTGAGTCAGCATCTCATTTTTTATTTTTAAGTCAAATATGACTTACCTGGCTTCTTCCAGTTCATGACACAGCAGTGCCTCCCATTGTGCAGGCGAAATATCACTGTCTTAATCACACACCCTTTATGTATAAACCCACTCTAGTCTTTCCTGGCTGCATGGGGATGAGGAAAATACCTATTCTGGTGGCTCAGTCTTCATTTTTGTACCTTTTTCAGTATCTGGTTGTTGAGTGACTGAAGGCATGGCTCTGGTCCTGTCCCAAGGTGCTCAGAGTACAGCTGAGAAAACATGCCAGAATTTCTAGTTGTGGCAAAGCCTGAAATAACCAGGGTCTGCTTTATCCCAGTTAGGCCAGGGCAACCTCTCAGAAAAGGAGCCTGATGGGCAGGGGAACAGCAAGTGCAAAAGTCCTCAACCCAACCCCAGTCCCTACCCTCTGTCTTCTAGTCTTGCCTCTTGTGAGCCATGGTCCATATCAGCTCTCCCCTCCATCTGTTCTACCCCAGCTCTCCAGTCCTGTACAAGGTTTTGTGGCATAGCACTCGCTCCCCTCTCTGCCTATCCCACTCACTGTCAGCATTCCAGAACATGTCAGGCTGGTTCAGGCCACCTTTAATCTAGCCCCTCCTCCACTCATCTCTCACACCAGCTCTTCACTCCCTCTGAGGCTAGTAGACTGCTCTTTATATCTTGGATTTTTTATTGACATTCACATACTGTACCCTACAATTCACTCATTTAAAGTGTGTCTAGCTGGGGGTTTAGCTTAGTTGTATAGTGTTTTTATCTTGTTTTTTTTTTTTTCCCCCTGTATTGGGATTGAACCCAGGGGTACTCTACCACTGAGCTACATCCCCAGCCATTTTTTATTTTGAGACAGGGTCTGGTCCTGAGCCAGGCCTCGAACTTGTGACCCTTCTGCCTTAGCCTCCTGACTAGGATTACAGGTGTTGTTTCTACCTTTTAGCTATCATGAAAAATGCTGCTGGAACATTCATGCCCAAGTATTTGTGTGGACATAGGTTTTCATTTCTCCTGGATAAATTTCATCCAAGAGCAGAATTTCTAGATCATGGTAACTCTGCCTTTAACATTTTGAGAGGGCTGGGGATGTGGCTCAAGCGGTAGCGCGCTCGCCTGGCACGCGTGCAGCCCGGGGTTCAATCCTCAGCACCACATACAAACAAAGATGTTGTGTCCGCCGAAAAACTAAAAAAATAAATAAATATTTAAAAAAAAAATTTTTTGAGAAACTACCAAACTTTTCCACTAACCATGCTATTATACCCACCCCACCTCCCACACCCCTGCAATGTATGGGACTTCCAACTGATCCATACTTCCTTAGCACAAATTAATTATTTTGTAGAACTGGGGCTATGCTAGCCAAGCTCTCTACCACTGAGCACATCCCCAGCCTATCCTGCCCTTTTTTTTATAGCCATCTAAGTGTATGTGAAGTATCATTGTGGTTTTGATACGCATATCCCTGGTGACCTCCTGCTGTTGAGTATCTTGTGTTTTTTGGCCATTTGTATATCTTCCTTAGAGAAATGTCTATTTAAATTTTTTTATACATTTTTAAATTGGATTAATTTTTATTATTGAATTGTAAGAGCCTTTATATTTTGGATTCCATTTCCTTATCAGATATATGATTTTCAAATATTTTTTCATTCTGTGAGTTGTCTTTTCAGCTAATTGATGGTGTCATTTGAAGCATAAAAGTTTCTGATATCAGCAAAGTTCAATTATCTCTTCTTTTAATACTTGTGCTTCAGGCATATCTAATAGACTAATGGCTAGTCCAAGGTTACAGAGACTTACTCCTATGTTTTCTTCTAAGAGCATTCATTTTAGCTCTTACATTTAGGCCTTTGATCCATTTTGAGTTAATTTTTGTGTACGGGATAAGGACAGAGCACATCATTCTCTTGCACGTAGCTGGCCATTCAGTTGTCCCATTTGTTGAAAAGCCTTCTTTTTCCAATGAATTGTCTTGGCACCCTGTCTAAAATCAATTGACCATAAATATGAGGGTTTATTTCTGGATTCTCAGTTCTCCCCCATTGATGAACATGTCTATCCTCATGCCAGTGCCACACTGTCCTGTACACACAGCTGCTTAATGAGTTTTGAAATGGTGAAGTGCAAGTCCTGCAACTTTGTTCCTCTTTTCCAAAATCATTTTGGCTGTTCTGGTCCCTTGCATTTCCATGTGAATTGCACCATGTGCTTGTTGATTTCTGTGAGAAGGGAAAAAAGCTGGTATTCTAATAGGAATGCATTCAGTCTATATCTCAATTTGGGGAGTGTTGCCATCTGTTCAGTGCTAAGTGTTCCAGTCTGTGAACTAACTTACTCAAATTTAACAATGGCCTGCATACCATTCTGTGCATATTCCACTTAGGCCTCCCTTACCAGAAGGGCAATTTTCAAGCACAGACTTACCCTGAGAGCCTGAGCCCCACCAGACTAAAATGAGTTTTGGCCTGAGAGCCTGTATGAACCACATACTGCATCATCCTAAAAGCCCTCTTGTTCTTTGGAATTTATCTTAAAGGTGGGTCCACACTTGGGTGCCCAGGTAGAAGGACCAAGGATCACTATGGGGGCTTGTTTGCTACTCAAAAAAAGGTTGGGAGTGATCCAGGTTTGTCCCCTGGGGCTGAATCAGGAGGAGAGTGCTAGGTTCTCTATAAATGCTGAAAACAATGAGACTGCTATACTGAAAACTCTCATCTAGTGGGTAGATGGCTAAGTGCCCAAGGTAGGTGGCCAGCCGGAGCTGGTCCTGAGCACTCAGGATCTGCCCCAAGGACTAAAGCCAGGGACTCTTGCTTTCCTACTCCCATATCATCTCCAGGCACATGGAAGTATCTTATTGTAAGCATGTGTTTCTTTCTCTTTTTTTTTTTTACTATGGGTAAAAAATTGAGCATTTCTCATTTACCTTGAGATCTAGCAGAGATACCAGGCAACTAACCCCATGCCAGAGCTGACAGATGGATACACTGATTGTCCCCCACATGCACCATGGGGTCCTGACTCCCAGAGTTCTGCTCTGCCACCCCAGGAGGCCCAGAGATGGCCTCACCTACTCTCTGCTCTCATTTGCTGAATGTTAACTTGAGTTCTACTGGTCTGAACCTGTCACTTTGTCCCAGCATCCACCAGGCCTATTTGGAGAAGAGACTGAAGTTGAAAAGATTAGGGGGAAGCAGGGAGGGGACCACACCCCAGGTGACTCAGGCCGCCTTGAAGACCCCAGCTGGCCTTCAGCCTGTCAGTCAGGATTAGAGGAGGGGCTCCTGCTGGTCCTCAGTAAATATTCATGGTGGCCTCTGTCTCTCCCCTGGGTGCTAGGCAAGGGGCCAAACCCTGCTGAGCCCAGAGGTAGCAATACCACCCCTGAAGCCGAGGGGCTAGCTGGGGTGACTCTGCAGGGCACTGCCTACTTCCGGTGGCTGCATGCTACCCTCTATGGGCAGCATACAGGGGTGGTGACCCAGGTGGCCAGGAGATACCACAGAGCTGGGACCCAGCCATGGACACTCAAAGCCTTCCTTCCTGTTGGGGACCAGCCTGCTGACTGGAAACCATATAACTTTCTAGAAGAAAGAAAGAACCAGGGCCACTAAACCACAAACATCTAGACCATTGGGTTCTCCAGTAGCCCCTGCCTGTTCTGTACCTTCCAGAAACCCTGGCATTGGGTCAGAGGTATTGTAGCCCAGGCAGTCCCACTTGTGAGAGAAAAGCTTCCTGGTGTCACCTCACTTGACTGTAGAGCATGTGGACACAATAAAAGTGACCTGGAGTTCAAGGAGAGAGGGATGGGGCCTCATGCCAAGTAGTGAACTATATGGAATGGGGCCAGTAGACATTCACAAATAAAGAAGAGTCTGAAGAAATACATGCTAGACTGAGGTTGCCACCAAGTCCTGGGGATTTCTGGGGTAGACTTCTGCCTCCCCTCTTGTTTGTCTTTGTAGAGTATTTGTACAGCAAGTAGATGTTCCCTCACAAGAGGAAACAACAGGGCAGTGACCTGTTACACCAATGGGGTGCCTCCTTGTCTCCACAGGCTACAGCATGTTTGCCGTGGGTATTGGGACTTTACTCATTGGGTACTGGAGCATGATGAAATGGAATCGCGAGCGCAGGTAGGTCCCATGGTTCAGGAAGAGTGGGGGTGTCTTCTGAAAAGATCCCCCCTCACTGGTTGACAGGGATGCAATAGTGTCTGGAGTGCAGTCTACTTCCAAGCTGGTGAGGCTAGAGTTGTATGTCAGACTTGGCTACGTAGACCAGGCCTAAAAGTATAGGTTCTGACCTTCACTTCCATTTCTAGACCTGATGCTCAAGAAATGTCTGGTAAGCAAGGCGCTCATGACCACATGTTTAGCAGCCTACCCTTCAGCCTTTGAGGCCACGAACCCTACAGGTCCAGATTAGTAGAAGACCTTGAGTGGTCGAGGGGCAGGCCTCTGACAGCCTCACAGCAGGTTTTTGTCAGTGATAATCAGGCAAGGATGATGATCAGGGCTTAGAAACCAGAAGCTGTGACCCCCCTGGGGCCAGAGAAACTAAGGCCAGGCATCCCTGGGTCACAGGAGAGGAGATGGCCAGAGACCTCCCTGAGTCACATCACTGGGCACTCCGCTCATCAACCTCCTTAAAGCATACACTGGACTAGCTTTCCATGGGGACCTTGGAAACTGCCAGAGAGCAAGGAGAAAAAAAGAGGGATGCACAGGCTCCGCCTGCCTTGGCCTCACACCCTGTGGTTATTTTGAGATGAAGGGGACTTTGGTTTTCTAAAGCCCAGAGCCCCGTGATGAATCTGTCCCCACTCCTTCACTGTGATCATCAGGCAGGGCTATTTTTAGGATTAAAAAAAAAAGTTTTTAATTGTAAAGAAAGTATTAAGCCAACAGTCTTGTGGACAGATGCCTCTGCCAACTTCCCGCCTTCACCCACTCATTTGCCCTCATCTCCGGCTCTGGCCTCCTCCCACCACCACCCTCCAGGCTGCCACTATTACCTCCCTCTTCCTTTCTCCCTCCCCCATATAGCACCCTGGGTGTTTGAGGGCCATTTTGTCTGTACACACTCCAACCTTGCTTCGTCCTAATGTCAATTTCTGGGTTTCATAGGCGCCTGCAGATTGAGGACCTGGAAGCCCGGATTGCACTGATGCCTCTGTTTCAGGCAGAAAGGGATCGCAGGTAGGGCTACTGGCCAGGGTTGGGAGGTTATAGGCCTGAGTGTCCCGGCCTACAAGGCTTTACCTGCATCCAGGACAATGGCCGTGGTGCATGCATGAACTGTCAGCCGTACTCTGGAGCACACAGGGCTGGCATCACCCTTAAAGAGGGCCAAAACATGACCTAGTGGAGAGTCCAGAGGGGAGAATGGGAAGACTTCCTGGAGGAAGGCACGTAGAGGCAGGGGCAGGAGACAGGGTAGGAATTTGCCAGGGGAAGTAAAGGAAGGAAGAAGAGCAATGGGGAGAGGGCTGGAGCAGTAGGAGGGAGGCGGGCACCTCTGGCAGAGGAGCGAGTGCAGTCCTGCTCAGTCCCTACCACCTGTGCCATCCCTGCAGGATCTTGCAGATGCTTCGGGAGAACCTGGAGGAGGAAGCCATCATCATGAAAGATGTGCCTGACTGGAAGGTGGGTCCTGGCCTCCAGGGCCACAGGGCTGGAGGGTCATTCACACAGCCTTCTACAGAAAGCCCAGGACTGAGTGGGGTGATGGTGGCCTGGTCCAGGATTGGGGAAATGGCAGCTCCTGGCCCCAGCACAGGGGCCACTAGTCCTTGGGGGGGTGCTAACTAGTGCTGTGCCTCCACCAATAGCCCCCTGTCCCCACAGGTGGGTGAATCTGTGTTCCACACACAGCGCTGGGTGAGCCCCACAATAGGCGAGCTGTATGGACTGCGCACCACGGAGGAACTACTCAACGCCAACTACGGATTCATGTTATACACGTAGCTGGACAATCTCCCCTCTCCGCCAGGAAAAAAATAAACGCTCTGGAGGCCTGCCTGTCTGTGCCCTGGGCACTGAGGGGGGGTGTGGGGGGGGGGGGGTGGGGGGGGGGGGGGCGGGTGGCACAACCGGATCACGTGGCATGGGGAATTCTGCAGATGTGACCCTTGATAACCTCTAAACATACCCAGGGATGTCCCCAGATCCACCTGTCTTCTGCTAAGCTTTCCTGCACCCGCTGAAACCCTGTCAGCAGCCCCTGCCCTTCTTGTCTGTGAGCCCCTAGTCAGGTTTGAGTCGTCCTCCCGTCTTCGCGGGGGCGCTCACCGGTGGGTGGGGAGTGCCCTTGTCCAGCCCAGGATCCCACAGCCTCTCCAGACTTAGTTTACTTGCCACTATCCCAGCCTGAACTTCCTCTGGCTCAGCTCAGAGGCTCCCCTTCTGACACAGAAGGGTTAAGTCATGCCTGCTCTGACCAATAGTCACGCGCAGCGCCTTCGCGGCGCCTCCTGATTGGCGGGTGTGTTGGAGGGGCGAGGGAGGGGGTGGACTCTCCCGCCAGGGATGTGCTTAAAAGACAGTGGCGACCAAGAGACCGCGCTGCGCACACCCGCACACCTTGGCCATGAGCAGTGCGGTGGGTCCAGACCCGGCGGAGACGCCTGAGGAGCGGAGTTTCCTCAGGTCAGCCAGGGAGAGGGAAATGGCGATGGGCATGGCCGGGGCGAGAATGGGTGGAACTGAGGCAAAAGTATGGTCCAAAAAGGTCAGTGACATCAGAGAAAGGGATAAGGCTACAATGGGGGGTCCCTGGTACTGAAGGCAGGAGTGAGGCCGGGATGGGGGTGGTGGAGATAGACGCAGAAACAACAGGGATGAAGGACTGGACGCAGGGATATGGTTGGGTTGCAGCCGGAGGACCAGAGGCCCATCCCGCATCTGACTGGAAAGACAGCCTGCCTGTGCTTCTGACGCCTCCGAAGCTGTGTTGCCAGGGAAACTGCATCCGAGGCAGGCCTTCCCCTCATGAATTATTCATCAGCACCTCTAGTCACTCTGCCAACCCCAGCCTAACCAGGGCTTTCCTTCTCTGACCCTCTGTCAGGGACCATGGAGTCCCAGGATCCGATTCCCTAGCTTGGAAGAACCGACTTGAGCTCACAGGTTCTTGCACGTCTTGGTGATCCACCCACCGGGCTTTCTTGTCCAGAGGAGGAAACCAAGGCTTGGGGAGGGAATTTGCTCCCTGAGCCAAGGCCAGTGCAGATTTTGAGAATTTGAATGCATAGGCCATTTGCCCTGGGGCTGGTCAAGATCTGTGTCCTCTGAACCTTGTGATGTAGGACTCCAGGTGGAGTATTACACCTTGCTGTGAACCAGATTCAGCAGCCCTTGGCCCACTGTCCACCCTGTGCCTCTGCTCAGGGCAGATATTGTCCAGAGACTGACTGATATCCAGATTCAGAAGTGAGTTGGAGGAGCTGGAGCTGTGGCTTCACCTGCTGTGGGGGTCTCAAACTGAGAAGAGATGGGGCTCCTTGGAGTGGGTGGAACATGGGAGAATAGAGGCAATAGGTTGGAGGCGTAGCTTGTAGGCACCATGAGAAATTTGAATATTCTCTGAGCACTGGAGATCCATAGACAGGTTTTATGATGGAGGTGATGTGATCTGGTGTTCAAGCATTCAAAGTCCCTGCAGCTGGTGCTGAAGAAGAGTTCAAGGGGGCATGAGACTGCTGTATGCAGAAGGCCAGGTAAGTATTAATAGCAGAGGTGTGAGGGTGGAGAGAAGCAGATGAATCCCAGAGAGCTAGGGTACCAGTAGGGGTACCTTGGCCTAAGGGCTTCTTGCTCTTCCTGGAAGCATTTTGGGAATGTCAGGCCCAGTTCCCTTTGGATTCAGTTCATTTCAGCCCTTCTGGGTCTGGCAAGGAAATCAAAGGTTGCAGCCCCTGTCTGGGGACTGAGGTTGAGGAAGCAAAAGAATTCCTCACACTGAGCCCTTCTGAATCCCTCATTAGCAGATGACTGGCCCGGATTCCTCCCTCCCACTGAGCTCTAATCTCATGCTTACCTTGCAGAACTGCTACTGTCCCCCATCCCAAGATTCCTACCCCATTAACACTCTAGTCCAGGTAGGAAGAAAAGTCCCAGGTGACTGCCAGAAATCCAAACTTTGGGACAGAAGGAAAGGAGAAATGGGTGTTCCCTCCATCCTCTACTTCCTTCCCTGATCTATTGGGGCAGCAGCTGGAGTTGTCACAAGATGAAGATGGGGGAGCCAGGCATAGTGGTACACGCCTGTAATCCCTCCTCAGCTTGGGAGGCTGAAGCAGAAGGATCATGAGTTTAAAGCCAGCCTCAGCAACTTAGGGAGGCTCTAAGCAATTCAGTGAGACCCTGTCTCAAAATAAAATACAAAAAAGGGCTGGAGATGTAGCTCAGTGGTCAAGTGCCCCCGGGTTCAATTCCTGGTACAAAAAAAAAAAAAAAGATGGGAGAATGAACCATGTTCCCAACCTGCCAGAGTCCTCAACCTGGACTTGAACACACCATCTCGGATGTGCTTACCTAGGAGCTGGACCACCTGCTCATCTGGTACCTTTTCCCTGCCGCTCCTTAACTTTAAAATTTTTTTTCTTTAGTTGTCAATGGATATTTATATGTGGTGCTGAGAACTGAACCCAGTGCCTCACACATGCTAGGCAAGCACTCTTAACACTGAGCCACAACCCCAGCCCGGGCCCTTAACTTCTCTCTGTATCAGCCCAGATACAAGACTTCCCTTACCTGAGTCTTCATCTCCTCATCTTCACAGACCCTCTGAAGTGTCTTCCCCACATTTCTCAGGCATTGAGTCCCTGCCTGCCTTTTCCCTCCCTCCCTTTCTTTGTTCTCACTCTGCTTCTGCTCCCAAGCATGCTAGACTTGTTCCCACCACAAAGCCTTGGCCCTTGGCCCTTGCTGTTCTTGCTACCTGGATTACCTCCCACCATACTCCACACCTCCTCCAGGGAGCCCCTTCCCACCGCCATTCTTTCTGCCCTTCCACATTCTGCCGACCATGGTGAATGGGGGGGTATTGCCGATCCCCAGCAGGAAGGGAAGGGGGCTTACTTGGGGGATGCTGGCATCAAGTTTTAGTCCCTGCTCTGTGGACTAACCCCTGATCCTGGAATGAGGAACATCTTCTATGTCAGCTCTCCCTCTCCCCAGCCACCAAGCCTGTGCTCCTTGGAAACCCCTAAGCAAGGGCTGGGTTGGTCTCTGCACTTAGAAGAACTCAACACTTTATTTATTTAGGTACTGGGGATTGAACTCAGGGGCACTTGACCATGAGCCCCATTCCCAAGCCATTTTGTATTTTATTTATAGACAGGGTCTCACTGAATTGCTTAGTATCTTGCTTTTGCTGAGGCTGGCTTTGAACTCGAAATCCTCCTGCTTCAGCCTCCCAAGCCCCTGGGATTATAAGTGTGAGTCACCACACACAGCTAGGTCAACAGATGCCCCCTCCCTCAGCCCTTTTTATTTCTACATAGAGCCATGCTAAATTGCTGAGACTGGCCTTGAACTTTTGATCCTCTTGCCTCAGCCTCCTGAGTCACTGTAATTACAGGCATGTGTCACAATGCTCAGCTTCAACACCTACCATTCCTAATAATTTTTGAAACAAGGACACCCTGTTTTCATTTTGCACAGGACCCCATAAATTATAAAGTCCTTCTGCCTTCAAGTTTGCCAAGAGTGGAGATGGACCCCAGCAGTTACTCAGCAAAGTGGGTGACAGAGCTTCACTCCAAGCCAGGTGGTCCCATCTCTTTGGCCACATATACTTAAATTTTATCATTGTCCCTGAAGAGGGTCACCAAAGGGTCTTATAAAATCACTTGTCCTTTGGGCTAGGACTGTGGTTCAACAGTAGCCTACTTGCTTTGCATGTGTGAGGCACTGGGTTCGATTCTCAGCACCACGTATAAATAAAAGATCTATCAACAACTAAGGGAAAAAAATATTTAAAAAATAAAAATAAAACCACATGTCCCACATTCACCTCCTGGAGTGAGCCATCAAATTCCTCAGCAGCCTTCAAAACCGACCTTCCTCAGGTGTCCCCAGTCGGCTCCACCCACTCCAACATCTTGGAGCTTGCTCAGTGATTCTCACTGCCTGAAGTCAATCCATCTCCCCCATCAAAGTCCTTCGCTCTCCATCACTGAGTTCCTCCTGCCATAGTTGGGGGCCTCTGGCTGGGTTTGGCGGCAACAGAACCACCATTGGCTGCCATGCACCCCTTCGACCACCAGAGGGTGCGCTCCTCAAAATTGTCTCCAACCTCCTAATGGTTGCTATTCACCCGGGGCAACTGAGGATGAGGGAGGATCTGCAATTCAGAGCTGCAGAAGCTACTGGAGGATAGGGGACATACCCCTTAACATTTGTGGAACATTTCTGGCTCCATCTGAGTTTCTATGGGTCTATTGTGTTTCTTTGTGTCTCTGAGCTTCTCTCCCCATTTTCTGACCCCCAGCACGGCAGAGGCAGCTGCCCTGGAGCGGGAGCTGCTGGAGGATTATCGCTTTGGGCGGCAGCAGCTAGTGGAGTTGTGCGGGCATGCTAGTGCCGTGGCTGTGACCAAGGTACTTGACCCCCGACTGCCTGACCTCTTGACTGACCCCAACCTGATCCAGCAGAGCTAAGGTCTAGCACATTAACCCTGTGACCAGGATGGTCCAGACTTAAAGAATCCTCTCTTTGCTTGAGGCTACTCCATCCCAACATTGAGACGGGGAAACAGCCCTGTTCCAGGCCAGAAAAGACCTGAGATTTAGGGTGTTCCCAGTCCACTCCACCCACTCCAACAACATCTTGGAGCTTGCTCAGTGATTCTCACTGCCTTAAGTCAATCCATCTCCACCGTCAAAGTCCTTCACTCTCCATCACTGTCTGAGTTCCTCCTGCCATAGTTGGGGGCCTCTGGCTGGGTTTGGCGGCAGAGACAGTCAGGGCAGAGGCAAGGGTTCCCAGAGAAGTGGAGGCTATTTCTTGGATGGTGCAGGGCTCTTGAGGTGCAGACCCTGGGAACTACTGCATATCTTAGCAGCCTGCTTCTGTGAACGTGGGAAATGCCACCCTCCTACAACTTGAGCACCCCAAACAACCCCATGCTGGTGATAGGGAAACTGAGGCCCAGATGCAGGCCAGTGCCTGCCCAAGGGTTGGAAGAAGAGCTGGAATTCATTACAAGATGACAGGAGAGAGAAAGCAATAAAGGTACTGGGTGCTTGCTGTGTGGCCCACCAAGCTGGGCCTCAGCTTCCTCCAAAAAGGAGTAATGAATCCTCCTGACAAATCAGTCCATAAATGCAAATGCCTTGGGGAAGGGCTCCACAACAAAGCCAGGGTCTGGCAGTTTCCCTCCCTCCTTCTACTCCTCCCAACTCTACCCCTCCCCCCTCCCCTTTTTCCTTCCTGTTTTTCTTCTTCATCTTTTTCTTACCACTGGATACTTTTCTTTTTTCTTTTTCTTTTTGAGAGAGAGAGAGAGAGAAAGAGAGAGAGAATATTTATTTTTTAGTTTTGGGCAGACACAACATCTTTGTTTGTATGTGGTGCTGAGGATCGAACCCGGGCCACACGCATGCCAGGCGAGCACGCTACCGCTTGAGCCACACCCCCAGCCCCTGAATACTTTTCTTAAAAACTCAGTATCTTTATGTTGATGGAACTTTTGTTGTTTTACTTACATGTTTTTCCAAATGAAATATCCTGGGTGAAGTATCCAAGGGAGAAGGAAATCAATGAGGATGAAAGCCATGAAAGGACACCCCGTGCAATAAACGCCTTGTGCTTGGTGACCAGACTGTCCCGTTTTTTGCACTGGAAGTCCTTCATTCTTCCAAAGTCCCTTAGTCCTAGCCAGAAGGATGTCCTCACCCTCCAGACTTGGGCTCAGCCCAGAATGGTGGAAGTCATAGCACTTTCATGATGGGTCGAGATCACACTGAGACCTCGGGGAAGAGAATAATCTCCCCTGTGCAGTCAGAGCTTAGACTGCATAGGCCCCTGGAGCCTGGCCCAGATACTCCATGTGCCTTTCAGGCCAGTGCCATTGTTTGTTGTCTTTCTTTGTGTCTTTTGTTTTTTCCAGTGCTGGGGTGGAACCCAGGGACTTTCACATGCTAGGCAAGTGCTCTACTACTAAATTACATCCCCAGACCTTTTTATTTTATTTTGAGACAGGGTCTCACTAAGTTGCTGAGGCTGGCCTTGAACTTGCCATCCTCCTGCCTCGGTCAGTAGCTGGGGTTACAAATATGCAGCACCACCTGGCTGTTGATTGCATTTGATAGAGGCAAAACTGAGGCTGGGAGAGAAGAGGCCGGGCCACAGAGAATCAGAGCAAGGCTGGGAATCAGACACCAGGGCCCTTAGCAACTGTTAAAAAGAAAGAGATGCTGGGCTGGGGCTGTCGCTCAGTGGTGGAGCACTTGCCTTGCATGCATAAGGCACTGGATTCGATCCTCAGCCTCACATAAAAATAAATAAATAAGGAAATTGTGTTCATCTGTAACTAAAAAAAAAAAAAATAAGGAAGAAGAAAGAGATGCACACACCGACAGATAGACATGGGGGCACCTGAGGGTAAGAGTCGGACAAGGACACAGGATCTGAGAGATACAGAGAGACAAACACAGAAAGGGGAAGACAGGCACAGAGGGGAGATACACAGAAAGTGAAAGACAGCGGGCTGGGGATGTGGCTCAAGTGGTAGTGTGCCTGCCTGGCATGCGTGAGGCACTGGGTTCGATTCTCAACACCACATAAAAATAAAATAAAATATTGTGTTCACCTAAAACTAAAAAATAAATATTAAAAAAAAAAAAGAAAGTGAAAGACAGAAAGACTCAAAGGAAAGAGATGAGTAGAGACAGAGACAGTCTGAGAGACACAGAGAAAGATGGAGAGAGTTATCAAGGCAGGCAGGGGTTGAGAAGTCCCCCTCCTTCTCCCCTTCTCCCCCACTCTGGGGCCTCCAGGAGGAGCTTAGCCCTGGAAACATGGGCGGGGGGAAGGGCAGCCACTGCGGTGGAAAAAGGTGGAGGAATGTCTGTGACTGGGGCAAGGAAAAAACAAACCGCACTGCCTTTGGGCACTGGGGCGCAGGCCTTGGGCGGAGCTGGAGGCCCGCTTCCCAGCAGAACACCTCTTTCTGTTGAATCCTGTTGCCTTCAGGCCCCAGCCCTGACCCTCCCCTACTCCCAGCATCAGTTTCCCCACTTGTACAAAGAGGAATCACGAGTGTCTTGCTTCGCTGTGTCCCCTGCCAGGTGTTCCCTTTGCCTGCTCTCTCCAGGAAGCAGAGGACAGTGTTGGTGGTGTGTGGCCCGGAGCAGAACGGGGCAGTGGGGCTGGTCTGTGCCCGGCACCTGCGGGTGTTTGTGAGTAGCAAGGAACCCCTTGGCCTCCCAAGGTCACCCCACCTTCACCCTGCAGAAATTGCTTCCTTCTCTTGAAAAGAGTCCCCAAGGAACTTGGTCGCAGGACAAGTTTCAGAATATGCCATACTTGCCCGAGGTGAGGTCTGATGTGGATACCTGAGAGGACCCCCAGTGTTGACCCCTTGTCCCCCCTCCAGGAGTACGAACCTACCATCTTCTACCCCACACGCTCACTGGACCTGCTGCACCAGGACCTCACCACACAGTGCGAGAAGATGGATATCCCCTTCCTCTCCTACTTGCCTACGGAGGTCAGCACTGGGTGACCAGTGTGGGCAGAGGTGGAGGATGGGGTCCCAGGGCCACCCCTGACCTCACCTCTCTTCCCAGGTGCAGCTCATTAATGACGCCTATGGGCTGGTAGTGGACGCTGTGCTGGGTCCTGGTGTGGAGCCAAGCGAGGTCGGGGGCCCCTGCACCCGTGCACTGGCCACACTAAAGCTGCTGTCCATCCCCCTCGTGAGCCTGGACATTCCCTCAGGCATGCTGAGCAAAGTGGGCACAGTGGGACCCGGGGGGCTTGGGTGGAGGCCCCTGTACTCTGGCTCCTGGTGGCCCCAGCTTGCATGCCCAATCTGAGCCTCAGTTTCCCCAGAGTGGATGCTGTGTGGTCTCTGGCTGAGGCCAAGGGTCACACCCATCCCAATGATGGAGAGGATGAAGTGTGCCACCCCAGGTGACCTTGGATCCCCTCCTCCCCCCGTGCCCAGCCCCGTGTGCCCGCTGCCCACCCCTGGCCCAGTTGCCTGGGTAGACGTGAGCTCACCCAGCAAAGCCACGCCTGCCCTGGCCGCCGCCCCATGCCTGTTGGAACCATTAGGCGACAGGCAGACGGAATAAACAGCCGCTGGCCGCAGGACCCTCCATGGGGGTGGCTGGACTCTGGGGGATGTCCTCTGGCTTTCAGGATTCCAAAGCCATCCCAGCCCGGTGCACAGAGGAGGGGGGGCTGAGGGAGGAAGGGGGCCATCTGGGCTGCAGGCTCCTTTTTGAACAGGTAGCCTAGGACAGAGAGATTGGCTCTGATAGGTCAAAGTGATGTTAGGGGCCTTTAGTCAGCCAGTGGAGGCTAGGGTCAGAGAAGGAAGCATTATAGTCAGAGGGAGGAACCAGGGACTTCTAGTTAGTGGCCCCGGATTCAGGTCAGAGGCAAGAGAGAAGGCAAGGCCTCTAGACTGAAGGTGGATGCTCATTCAAGAGATGACAAGATGGTGGCTGGGTTGGGCATGTCGCTCAGTAATAGAGCGCTTGCCTCACAGAGCAAAGCCCTGCATTCAATCCCCAGCACAGAAGAAAAAAAGACAGAGGCTGTAGCCTTGCCAAGTCAAATAACAGGATCTAGTGTGAGGGCAAAGGCAGAGATCTTAGATCAGGGGAGGAGTGTTCAAGTCGGAGTGGGAAGGATGAATGTTCAAGTCTGGTGGGGAGATGGGTGTGTTCTGCTGGAGACAAGAAACTGGGCAAGGAGAAAGGTCTGATGGGGGAGGCTTGCCTGAGGGTGGAGACCCACGCTGGTGTCTGGCTGGAGGTCTGGGTGGGAAGAGGCTGTAGTCCAGAGGCTCAGGATTGTGGGGAGGCAGATATGCAGATAGGTACCAACCAGGTCCCAAGGCAGAGGCACAGGGATAATTGGGAAAGGACGGCAGGTGGAAATGATGCAGTCTGAAGGTAGAGGGTGGGTGGAGGAGGGTGGAGGAATAGTAGAATGGCAGCAGGACCAAAAAAGTGTGGGGGCAAAGGCTCTGGTCCGAGGCGGGCAGGAAACACCTCAAGGAGAGAGACTGGTCTGAGGGTGGAGGCTCGGTTCTATGGGTGGGCAGGTTGACCAAGACCCACGTGTCAGAGAGAGAAGCTGGGTCTGCAGAGGAAGCAGGTGTGGGGGGAGCGAGACTGCGGCCTGAGGGCAGAGGCTCGGTGGCGGGGGAGGGGAGACAAGGACAGGATTCTAGTCTGAGGGCGGACGACCCTTCCAGCTCCGGATCCTCCCTGCTCGCCCCTCCTCCCTTAGGCTGGGACGCGGAGACCGGCGGCGACGCTGAAGACGGGCTGCGGCCAGATGTGCTGGTGTCGCTCGCAGCGCCCAAGCGCTGCGCCGGCCGCTTCTCAGGGCGCCACCACTTCGTGGCCGGCCGGTTCGTGCCCGACGACGTGCGCCGCAAGTTCGCCCTGCGCCTGCCGGGTTACACAGGCACCGACTGCGTCGCGGCCCTCTGACCGGCCACCGCGCCCGCGCCTCCTGGGCCTGCACCAATAAACAGATCTCCCACCACCACCTCGCTCCGCCTCCTCTGTGCGCCGGGTCGCCACAAGGGTAGGGGGTGGGGCAGATCGAGGAGGGTCTTCCCACCTGTCCCGTGGGGAGGCCCAACGGCGGGAGATCTGGAGGGGAGCTGTAGTGTGGAACTTCCCGCCGCCTTCCCCAAAAAGCTCCAACCCGAAAAATGGAGGGTGGGTTCAGGGTTAGGACTCCCAGACGCTCAGGGTAGCCTGAAACGGATAGGATCGAAGTTAGACGTGGTGGAGGACTTCCAGCCGCCTAAAACACGTAGGTCCGGGGAGCTTCAGGTTCGATTCCAAGTGGTATTTGGCGCAGGCAGCTTGGGACCCAACTTGGAGGATAAAGGGTGGGAAGGAGGTCCAGCCAGCGACGAGGAAACTAACACACGCCGGCCTGAGGGAGAAGGCAAAGTGGTGGGAAGACGCAGAAGTGGTTACTTGAGCCGCAGTCACACAGGGCCGGGGGCGTGGCCTGGCCTGCATTCATCGCTGCCTGCAAGGGGCGGGGCTTGCGTTGTGTCCCGCCCCTATGTTGAATCCCAGCGGCCGCCAGACCCGCCTGAGTCGGATCGGAGCTCACCGCGGAGCCCCGACCCTCCCTCGGAGGCTCGGACCCGGAGATGGCGTCACTGCTACCACTGCTCTGTCTCTGTGTTGCCGTAGCGCACCTGGCGGGTGCCCGAGGTGAGATGCCCCCAGCCCTAGGTTCCCGGAGACTTGACAGCCAGGTTTGCGTGCAGCTACATTAGGAAAAAGAACAAGGCACCTACGTGCCTCCCCAAGGCTTAAGCCCCCTTTGCCAGCCTTGGAGTGGGGGCGATGGGGAAACGGAGCTCTGGACCATCGGGGTGGTGGGGGGGAGAGGATCTCTTATTCCCTGCCCTCCTGGAAGGAAGGCACAGTGGACTTGCCAAGAGTGTGGATGTGAACCTTAGGTTTCTTTGGTTTCCAGAGACGGTGGGGTGCCTGACCCACCCAGCCCCAGCTTTTGGACCCTGAATCGCCAGGTCTCCTTTCCTAGACCAAAGGGTCAGAAACATTCCCTCCCTTGCACACACCCGCACCACCCAAAGAAACAATCCCCATCTCTGGAATGTCCTGCCATGGGGGCTGGTGATGGGCCCATTTCTCAGAGGAGATTGAGGCTCCAAGGAGGAAGGGACTTGTCTTAGGTTGTCACCCTGACTAGGTTATGTTCTTAAGATCAGAGAAGACAAGGTGGATTCCAAGGACAGATTGGGCCCCAAGTAAAAGGATGGAAAGGGTAGACTGAGGGAGGAACTTTCAATTGACCTGATGAAAGTGAATACATACAAGAGATTAGAGTCACAGTCGAATGAACTTGACTAAACTTGTGGCTGCTTAGCACACACAAGGGGTGATCTGAGCATGGGGGAGCAGAGTGGGACAGACTCCCCAGCTCATATGGAGTTGAAGCTGGACCAGAGAAAGGGACAGCGCTGCAGGAGTCTGGGGCTGGTAATGGAGAGGTTCTTGCAGGAGGGTGTGCTGTAGTCCACAGGGCTAGGGTTGGCTTCTGGCCTATCAGAGCCTCAGTTTTCTACCGTGTAAAATGAGAATGATCACCGCCTCCCTCTTGCACAAGGGGAGGGGGTCACAGTGGTCCCCATCACGGTCCTTCCTTTCCCCAACTCTTCCAGATGCCACACCCGTGGAGGAGCCCACAGGAATTGCATGGGGTCTGCAAGGAAGGTCGCTGCACCCTGGCCAGCCCTCACCAGCCCTGGAGGACTGGGAAGGTGAGTCAGCTTGGTTTGGAGTCCCCTCTCTGCTGCGGACTTACATGAACTCGGGCTAGTGGGGTCATGAAAGGAGGGGACGCAAACTAAGTGAAAGCTCCAGAACCATCCTGGTGCCTAGACATAGCAGGTCCTGGAAGTGATGTCCCAAGGGACCTAAATTACCGTCTAAGTAAGAGACTGGTCAAACAGCAGCAAGATCTCAGCGTGCCCAGATGGGCCAGCTCAAGCACTGGGGCTGGGCAAGTGGAGGTCAATCGTTCTTTACAAGGTCCTGAATCTGGTCGCGGTCGTGGGCGGGCTGGAGAATGGGTGAAGGGAGCCCAGCAGCAGGTCAGGCCCTTGTACGACTGACGGGGGCCGACAGGCTGCGACCCGGATCTCAGAGCGTGCGGTGCTCGCAGAGGCAAGCGAGTGGACGTCCTGGTTCAACGTGGACCATCCTGGAGGAGACGGCGACTTCGAGAGCTTGGCGGCCATTCGCTTCTACTACGGACCTGCCCGTGTGTGCCAGAGGCCGCTGGCGCTGGAGGCGCGCACCACCGACTGGGCCCTGCCGTCCGCGGTCGGCGAGCGCGTGCACTTGAATCCCACGCGCGGCTTCTGGTGCCTCAACCGCGAGCAGCCGCGCGGCCGCCGCTGTTCCAACTACCACGTGCGCTTCCGCTGCCCGCTCGGTGAGGGCGGGGTCCAGGGTGGGGCGGGGCCTGGAGTAGGTGGAGCTGGCAACCGTAGGTGGGTGGGACCAGAATGTGCTGAGGAAGGGGCTGTGTGGACCCGGCTAGACAGCAAGGAAGGTCGCTGCACCCTGGCCAGGAGCACCCCTACGGCCAGGAGGGGACTAGTGAGGGGAGGGGCTTAGGAGCAGTTGTTCCCAGGTAGGAAGCACCGCAGATCATCCCCCTGTCCTTACCATGAGAAACACATTTCCTTCCCTCATTTGCTTATTTGTAATTGTCGTGCTCTGTAGGTGTCTTGAGCCCCAAAGGTATTCAGGAACAGGAAATAGCGGGGCTAACCTCAGAGACTTTATCCGAAAGGGATAAATGCCCTCAAAGGGCGTGCCAGACCAGCACTGATGGGGACCGTAGGCAGGAGTGCCCACCCTAGAATGCATATAGTGTGGGTGGGTGTGTAGTGGTGGTGGCCTTTGGCCCCCACATTGTCACCAGGCGAGGCGAGGCGTGGTTCCTGGGAAGGCCAGCTGTCTGACCTTCCTCTTTGCTCTCCACAGAGGTCGCCTGGGGCGCGTGGGGTCCGTGGAGTCCCTGCTCTAGGAGCTGTGGGCCGGGCCGTCGCTTGCGCCACCGCAGCTGCGCAGGCCCGGCTGAGGATGCGTGTCCAGGGCGTTCCCTGGAGGCGCAAAAATGTGTGCGGCCTTCGTGCCCAGGTAGGAAGGCGGGTATGGAGTAGTGGTCTTTTCGTGGGGGTCCGGTTAGGGTTGGGGTCAGGGAAAGAGGTTGGGACGGGGCCTGTTGAGGGACGTGCTTGGTGGGGAACTAGTTGAAGGACTAGAGAGAAGGGTTTAGGAGGAGGAAGCCGGGATGCAGCGACCATGCACCGAGGGCCCCAACACAGGCTAGGTGGAAACTTCTCCTTCCAGGGCCCAAGGAGCACTGGTGACTGCCACAGGGCTTGTGTCAAGCAGACACAGGCAGAGCTAAGGGGTCACTTTCCCTGTGTGTATGGCCCAATGTACAGATATCCCCACGGGCAGACCAATGTTGCTTCTTGTACTTGGGGTGCTCCTGAGTGGCATATACAACCTCCACCCCACGCCCACGCCCACGCAGACACGCGCTCACACCCTGGCAGACATGGTGCCTAGGCCCTCCCAGGGCCAGACACTGGGCCAGCCAGGAGGCGACTGGAAATTCCGCTTGGTCCTGGGCTCCACAAACACCGTCTGGACTGCTCTGGAGGAGCCTGCCGCAGGGTGGGGGCACACAGTGGCCAATGGTGGGGTCCCCACCCCACCCCCTGCCTGGCTCTGCCCTTTCAGAGCCTCTGCCCTGAAGTTTCCAGTGGAATTTTCCATTTTATGGAGAAGCCGTAGGTTTGGAAGGGGAGAGATGTTGTCTCCCCAAGACAGCCCCTGCTTAGATATGTTTTCTCCTGCTGGAGGGGGCCTCTCCGTCCTTGAGAGTCAACTTTTCTGTCCCCTCCTCCAGGACATCTTTCCAATCTCTCTAGATCCCAATTCCCTTTCCCTGACCTAGCCCTGTGGGCTCAGTTCCATCTCCCCCTCACACTAGGGGCTAATTTAAGCCAAGCCATGGCGACCTCTGATGGGCATAATGTGGGGCAGGGGAATCTCCAGGTGTGGCTATAGAGTAAGTGGAAAGCCCCACGACCACAGGAGGGAGTGTGGAAGCCTCTGCCCCTGCTGTCTCCTTGTGTCCCCCCAGGGTGCAGCCCTGACTTCTGCAGGTGCCCTGACCACATCCTTCTGGGCTTGGTGGTTACACCATCTGGGCGACCACTGTCAGGAGCCAGGGTGTCCCTGAGAGCCCGACCTGGCACTATAGCCACCAGTGATACCCAAGGAACCTTCCGGGTGCCTGGATTCTGTGCCAGTAACCAGGCCAATGTCAGTGCCCAGATGGATGGCTTCTCTGTAGGTGTGGCTCGGGCCCAGGCCAATGGCACCAACCTCGCTGTGGTCACCATTGTCCTTGATAAGTTACGTAAGTACCTTCACAACAGAGAGCATAAGGGGACTGAGGGACTGGGAAAGTTATTCTAGGTCACACTGAGCACTTGAAGTCCGGGGGAAAGAATTAAGATGTGGCACAGTTGTTGGGGAAGGTATAGGCAGGTCAATCTCTGGGAGAAGGGAATGTGTGGGGGCTTTGTTTTTGGGAAGGGTCCCTGGGAGAAGCTGTGGTGGGTCAGGGTCCTGATCTTTGCCACATTTGCCCCCAGGAAAGCCCTACCTGGTGAAGCACCCTGAGTCCAGAGTGCGAGAGGCTGGCCAGAATGTAACCTTTTGCTGCAAAGCCTCAGGAACCCCTATGCCCAAGAAATACTTGTGGTGAGTCTCTGGCCCAAGCTCAGGTAGCTGTAGTCCAGCTCTGGGGTTGGATGGGATTTCCCATGATTATGTGGTACCTCAAAGACATTCTAGAAGTGGATGCTGGCCTCGGTTTCCCATCTGAAGAGTTGAGGAAGCTTTGCCCAGGAAGCAAATAGATGGCAGAGAGGCTACCATGGAAATTAAGCAAACCCGTCTCCCCAGCAAGGAGGCTGACCCCGGGGCAACCCCTCTGCGGCTCCCTGACCTGCTTCCTGGGGACAGTTTCACCTCACCCCAAGTGTCCCCATGGTGTTGTCCACCTACCACCCAGGTTTCACAATGGGACCCTGCTGGACAGGCGAGAACATGGGTATGGGGCCCACTTGGAGCTTCGAGGGCTGCGCCCAGACCAGGCTGGTATCTACCATTGCAAGGCGTGGAATGAGGCCGGAGCTGTGCGCTCTGGCGCTGCCCAGCTCATCGTGCTTGGTGAGCATCCTGGGCCTAGGTGGGAGCAAGCCCAGCCAGTGAACCAAGCCCCTACTCTAGCTAAGCCTCAACCCCAGTTGAAACCCCAAATCCAAATGATCTCTGACTTTATTGAGTCCTACCCTGGCCCCCAACTAAACACCAACCTTGGGTTAATCCTGGTCTCAGGCTGACCCTCAAATCGCAGTCCTCACCTTAGGCTTGTGTCCCACTCCTGGGTTGAGCCCTTCACTCCAAATGTAGCCTCCAGCTGTGGCCTCCACAAACCTTAGCCTCTTGCCTTGACCTGGCCGATTTCGGGTTCCCCAGCTCCAGGCCAGCCAGCCTGCGACCCCCGACCCCGAGAACACCTCATCAAGCTCCCGGATGACTGTAGCCAGCCAGGCAGCGGCCCTGCGTACCTGGATGTAGGCCTCTGTCCGGACACCCGCTGCCCCAGCTCTGCAGGCTCAAGTCCCCGGTGTGGGGACCCTGGCTCCCGCTGCTGCTCGGTGCGCCGCCTAGAGAGCAGAGAGATACACTGCTCCAGCTACGTCCTCCCAGTGAAGGTGGTGGCCGAGTGTGGCTGCCAGAAGTGTCTGCCTCCTCGGGGACTGGTCCGGGGCCGGGTGGTAACCGCAGACTCCGGAAAGCCCCTGCGCTTCGCCAGGATCCTGCTGGGCCAGGAACCCATCGGCTTCACCTCCTACCAGGGCGACTTCACAATCGAAGTGCCGCCCTCCACCGAACGGCTGGTGGTGACTTTCGTGGACCCCAGTGGTGAGTTCATGGATACTGTCCGGGTCTTGCCTTTTGACCCTCGAGGTGCTGGCGTGTATCACGAGGTCAAGGCCATGCGGAAGAAAGCTCCAGTCATCTTAGATGCCAACCAGAGCAACACGATCCCGCTCGGGGATATGGAAGAGGCGCCCTTGGGGGAGCTGGTCCTGCCGCCGGGATCCTTCCGCCACGCAGATGGCAAACCGTACACTGGGACGGTGGAGGCCCGGGTAACGTTCGTGGACCCCAGAGATCTCACTTCGGCGGCTGCAGCCCCCAGTGATCTGCGCTTCGTGGACAGTGATGGTGAGCTGGCCCCGCTGCGCACCTACGGCATGTTCTCCGTGGACCTCCGCGCGCCGGGCTCCACGGAGCAGCTGCACACTGGGCCTGTGGCGGTGCGTGTGGCCGCAGACCAGATCCACATGGCCGGCCACACGGAGGCCCTCAAGCTGTGGTCCCTGAACCCCGAGAACGGCTTGTGGGAGGAGGAGAGCGGCTTCAAACGCGAGGGCTCCTCGGCCGCCCGGGTCCGCAGGGAGGAGCGCGTCTTCCTGGTGGGCAACACTGAGATCCGCGAGCGGCGCCTGTTCAACCTGGACGTGCCCGAGCGCCGCCGCTGCTTCGTGAAGGTGCGCGCCTACGTCAACGACAAGTTCACCCCCAGCGAGCAGGTGGAGGGCGTGGTGGTCACGCTGGTGAACCTGGAGCCCGCCCCGGGCTTCTCCGCCAACCCCCGCGCGTGGGGTCGCTTCGACAGCGTGGTCACCGGCCCCAATGGCGCCTGTCTCCCCGCCTTCTGCGACGCCGACAGCCCCGACGCTTACACGGCCTTTATCACGGCCACCCTGGGGGGCGAGGAGCTGGAGCCGGCGCCTTCCCGGCCTCGCCCGCGCGCGGCGGCAGTGGGCGTCACGCAGCCCTACCTGGACAGGCTGGGTTACCGCCGGACCGACCACGACGACCCGGCGCTCAAACGCAACGGCTTCCACATCAACCTCGCAAAACCCAGACCCGGCGTCCCCTCCGAGGCCAACGGCCCCGTGTACCCGTGGCGCAGCCTGCGGGAGTGCCAGGAGGCTCCGGTGAACGCCAGTCACTTTCGTTTCTCGCGAGTGGAGGCCGACAAGTACGAGTACAATGTGGTCCCCTTCCGGGAAGGCACGCCAGCCTCCTGGACCGGCGATCTCCTGTCCTGGTGGCCTAATCCACAGGAATTCCGGGCCTGCTTCCTCAAGGTGAAGATCCAAGGCCCGCAGGAGTACATGGTCCGCGCCCACAACGCAGGGGGGAGCCACCCGCACACCCAGGGCCAGCTCTACGGGCTGCGAGATGCCCGCAGTGTCCGAGACCCTGAGCGACCCGGCATCTCTGCGGCCTGCGTGGAGTTCAAGTGCAGTGGGATGCTGTTTGACCAGCGTCAGGTGGACAGGACGCTGGTCACTGTCACGCCCCAGGGCAGCTGCCGCCTGGTGGAGGTTAATGGGCTTCTCCAGGATTACCTGGCTCGGCACCCCCCACCCGTGCCCTCCGAGGACCAGGCTGCCTTTTCCATGCTAGCCCCCCTGGACCCTCTTGGTCACAACTATGGCATCTACACCGTCACTGACCAGAGCCCGAGGCTGGCTAAGGAGATCGCCATTGGCCGCTGCTTTGATGGCTCCTCTGATGGCTTTTCCAGGGAGATGAAGGCTGATGCTGGCACAGCGATCACCTTCCAGTGCAGGGAACCACCAGCCCGGCCCAACCTTTTCCAGAGGCTGCTGGAGTCCCCAGCGGCAGCGCTTGGTGACATCCGCAGGGAGATGGGTCAGGCAGCCAGGCCACAGAGCAGGGCTACCAGTTCCTTCAGCACCCAAAGGGGCCAGTGACCTTGTCCCACGACCTCACTTCCTTGCCTTGCTTTGGACTCCTTGTTCTGAGACTTCTCACCCCACTTCTTCCCCAGAGGCCCCCTTTCCAGGTTTTTGGGGTCTCATTCCCCTCCCCACCAGAATTTAGAGTTAAGAAAAAAACTAGGCGTGTCCAACAGTGGAAGTGTCAGGCAGGTGGGCAGTTTTCGCGGTGTGACCTGAGGTGAAGCTTGCTCTGACAGGGGTTGGAGCCAGCCTCCCGAGAGCCAGTCACCAGACTGAGGCCTGCAGAAACTGTTCCCTGCTCAAAAGCGGTTTCTGACTTTCACATGTGTGTTGACCTTGATTTCAGATAGTCTGCCCTTTGGCGAGAAGCCCTCTCTGCCTGTTGCTGAGCTTTATAAGATCCCCCACCCCAAGCTTTGTTCTGGGATTATTTATTGAAATAAAGCCCAGGGGGCTTGTTGTGGATGTCAGTGGGGGATCCAGGCTGGACCCAGTGAAAGTGAGGAAGGGGCTTCTTGTGGCCCCTTTCCAGGGGAAGCTCTGGGGATGGGGGCAGATTAACAATTCTCATGTTTGGTGCTTGGAAATCCCTTTGGTGGGGTTGGGGCAGGTGCTCAATTAAAAATGCTTTATTTCCAACTCATGATGTCAAGCTCTGGGGACTGAAGGACAGAGGTTGGGGCTACCAGTTCAGACAGGACATGTCAGAGGCACACATGGCCACATGTGGCCGGGGCATACCTGGAACAGGCACGTGTGCCCCAGCAGATGTGTCTGTGACACGTGTGTGCGGAGTCACTCTGGAGCCGTCAGAGCCTTTGAGGCTCTGACCGCTGAGCACGGTAGCAGCTGCCGCCCTGGCCTGGCCTCCTCAGCCAGCTGTGCCTGGCCCGAGCCCTGGAGCTGCAGTGGGTAAGGAGGGGCCTTGGCGGGGGAGCGCCTAGGACAGGCGGCAGCAAAAGAGGCCGCCCTGGACTTCCTTAGCTGGGGTCACAGCAGCCCCACCCAGCTGAGGTCAGGCCATGCCATGGCCACATGGTGACTGAGGTGCCCAAGGCCAGGGTCCCGGACTCTCTGACCTGGGCAGGACCTTCAATCTGGAGTTGCAGAATCATGACTGCTCACGTTCCGTGTGTGTGACCAGGCAATCCCATGGTGACCCGAGGAGCAGGCACTGTTCTGATCACATCCTCCATTTTATGGAGAAGCTGAGGCCCTCAGGTGCTGGCATGAGTCCCAGCAGGAGTGGTGGCTCTCTGGATGACTCAGCAGGCTCAACCCCTCTACATGTACCCCAGGGGCTCCTCCGGCCTGGAGATGTCAATGTGGCATGGCTGGAGGAGCCTGCAGGGAGGTCTGGGAGGGGGCTTGGGCCTGGCTAACCATCCCCAGGGTCCTGGCAGGGAGGGGAGCCTAGAGCCTGCTAGAACCTCTGAACACCTGGTCACCCACTTCCGTGATCTGCTTATGCAGCTGCAGCCATGTCATCTCTGTGCCAACCCTGGGGTCCCTGAGAGATCTCAGCCTTGAGGGGAAAGGGAGAGAGGGGCTCACACATGCAGTCCCTGACACACCCCTGGGGGCCGCTCCCTTGGCTCCTCTCCACGTGACCACACCCCAGATGCCCCCGCTTCCCACCCCACGCCAGGCTCAGCCCCTGGTAAGTCCCAAGCTCTTCAGCCCTCACTGGTTCGCTTAGGCCACTTCTCCGAGGAACACCTTCCTGTGTCCCAAGGGTGGATCTGGGGCCTGGAGGGACTAGGAGATGCTAACAGGCCCAAGTGTACCAGCCGCAGTCCGGGACGCCCCTGGAGCCTGGTTTGGGAGGCAGGCCCCAGGACTCCAACTGTGGCCAGAGTGGACTGTGATGGAAAGTTGCTTGGGAGCGCATGGAAGCCAGAGGCGAGGGACATGTGTGTTTATCCAGAATTTACTACATCCGCACCCCCAGCTGACCGGGATGTTTCAAGGGGCAGGTCCCTGCTCAAGGCAATCCAGACTCCCGGCTTGCCCGGGCCCTGCTCAGAGCGGCCTGGCGGGGTCATGGGGAGTGGCGGGCATGGGGGGGTTGTCCTGGCGGCCGGCAGGCAAAGCCCGCTGCAGACTCCAGGCCTGGGGTGATGAGGTGTCCTGCTTCGTGGCCAAATACCTTTCATTGAGGAAGTGTTGGGGCCTTGGCTGCTGCCAAGCCCAGGGCAGCCGGCCCGGTGGGGCGAATGGCCAGCCTGGCCCAGCACCCTTTCTTAGGGTGGGGTAGGTCGGTGGGCATCCTCCTGAAGCCCCCTCTCCACCTGACTGGGCCAAGGAGTGGCAGGGGGCCAGGGGAAGCAGGCCAGGGAGGGCATCTGAGGACCAGCGATGCTTGGTCCAGGGTGGGCTGCAGCCCCGTCTCCTCCTCACCCTGGAGATGATTCTTTGAGATGGGATCGTTTGTCCCCAGCTTCCGGAGGAGGACACTGAGGCTCTGAGAGGAGAAAGCCGTTGCCCTGAGCTCACAGGCCCGCGCCTTGAGTCCCCCCGTTCTAGTTTCCACGAGGAGTCCCACCCTGCCCTCTTAGGACAGGGGCCATTTGCCTTCTGGAAAATCCATTGCCCACCTCCCCTCTGCCAAACTGGGGCTGCCAGAGCACATCCGCACAGCCTGGGGGCTGGAGGGCGAGAGACCCCAGAGACCCTGGCTCCAGCCATCTTGGGGTCAGCTCAGGGCATGAGGAGGCCCTTAGTCCCGCCCACGGCATTTTAGACTTTTATAATTTTAGAACCAGGGGTTCTTAAAATTCCTAACACCACGGTGGAGAGAAGAATCTTGGAACAGTAAAATGCTTAAAACAAGAGTCTAAAACCACAGAATCCAAGAGGAAGAAAATTAAAAAATGAACACACATTAAGCTCTGAATGGATGCAGCCACTCCACCCCGCCATGATGGAACTTACTTTAAGGCCATTTAATGGATATTGTCTTGAGGCCCCAAAATATGCTTTTAGGGGGAATGATTTCTCCTCCCCATTTCATGGCTGAAACACTTTGCCCAGAGTCACACAGCACATGGAAACATTATAGGCTAAAGGTAAGAGCAATGCTTCCCAAAGGAGGAGACACAACCATGGGTTTTGAAGGATGTATAGGAGTTTGCCGGGTGGGGAAGGAAGGAAAGACCTTCTGGATGGCTGGAAACGTGTATACCAAGGCCAAATGAAGGAAGCCCTTAGGCAGGCAGCAGCAGACACTGAGGGGAGGTGAACAGAGCCCAAATACTGATTTGGGAACCTGCAATGGGCAATGGGGAGCCATGGAAGGTGCTGGAACAGAAGGGGGTCACACAATTTCTCATGACAGACTCCCCTGGAACTGGATTCAGCTTATTGGGAAGTGTTTCATGGAACTGGAATCTCTTCCCTCCCACATGGTGGCTCTTGCAGAATCCAAATCCTGCAGCCCAGTGCCCCCTCCCCACAGCTGCCTCCTGTCCTGGCTGAACGTCCCTGGCTCCTCCATCAGGGCCTCGTGGACTGGCGTGGCCACCCACCACTTCCCCCGTCTGTCTCTCTCATCAGCCGTCAGAGTTGGGTAGGACCCAGTCTCAGACCCCAAAGGCGGGAGCCAGCCTGGCGGGGTGACCTGGCTTCTGTCAGGTGGGGGGTGCTGGAGCGTTAATGGTGGAAAGGAAGGCAGGAGGCCAGCCCAGCGAGCCGTCCAGGGAACGCTGGCGCCTGGCTGCCTGACCCCTTCAGGGCAGGAATGGAGGCCAGACCCCAGGTTCTGGGCAGGTGGGAAGGAGACCCAGGGCTCAGAGGAGCAGGAGACCCCAGATGCAAGGGGACACACACAGCACTCCTCAGGGCCACCACCACGGGGAAGCAGCACTGTGTGTCACACACAGCCAGGCGAGACTGTCACCAGTCCTGAGGCCACACTGTCTTCACCATGCTTGGTCCCTGTTCCCTGCAATCAGGTATTCCCTTTTACAACCTGGTTGCCTTCCTGTCACTCAACAGGTGACACTGTCACCCTCGGTCACACGGGCAGTTACGCCTGCAAAGTGCACGAGGCGGGACCTGCCAGACTCAAAGGATGCCACCCCTCACAGTGGCGGGAGCAGTCAGATGCAGCACCCCGATGTGGGAAGCCACAGGTTGGGGCGCCTTTGACTCCCAGATGGCTCCAACACCCACGACCCCCACGGTTCAGTCCCGCTGAGCGCCCCGGCCACAGCTCGGTGCATGAGGCACGTCCCACCCCTCGGAGCCCTGGAGAGGAGTGTGGGGGCGGGGGACTGGGGGCCTCCAGGTCCAGGCAGCATTGCCAGGGAAGTCCTGATCCCTTCCTCCTGCTGACTCAGGCCCGGGCAGGCCGCAGGTCTGCCAAACCTCAGGTATGTCCTCGAAGTCTGTCTGGCGGGTCCAGCGAGGGCGGGGAGGGGGCTCCCACTCAGACTCAGGCTTCCCCTGGGCGCGGCCTCCCCCTCATCCCAGATGGGGCTGAGTTTCAAGGTGGAGCTCAAGGCAGGGGGCCAACCTGGTGGGGGGCTGAGGCCACCCCTCACGTCCCTGTTCTTCCCAGCGGAAGGTTGGTGGAGAAATGAACCCCCAGTGGAGCCAAGGTGCCCCAGAGTGACGAACGAAGGGGCCCCGCTTAGCTCACTCTCCCTGCCCATAAAGACGTCACTGTCTGGTGGCAGCTGGCCTGGCTGCCTGTCCTGGGGCCCCGCACGGGGACCTGAACACAAATGGACACAGTGCTCCCATGGGCTGTCCGTGCAGACCTGGGGTACAGATGTGACAAATGACGGACAAACCCAGCCCCAGGACGGGCCTTCACCGAACCCCGGTCAGAAGGGCAAAGCAGGACTAGGCCCAGATATGCCAGCCCGAAAGGTCAAGTCTGGGTCAGTGAGAGGGCCGGGGGCTGGAGGAGGGCCCAGGGAAGGTTTTCTGGAGGAGGGGACATTTTCATATGGGCATTGCAAAGTGAGTGAGTCTGTGAAGCCTGATGTCCAACAGTCCAGATGTCC